CCACCTCCTATGAAAATACAGCCGTAATATCAGATGCATGTTTTAAAATGAACAGTGAACGACTAACAAGCGGTTTGTGTGACACAACGTGAAACCAGACCTCATTTGCCCCAACCGAAAGCATATTAACAGTGTTCTGAATCCTTTGATTTAACGGGGACTTTAACTAAGGGACCAGCACCAGTTCAATCGAGAGGATGTGGTGCTGGTCCTTCAAGAGTCAATCTAAAACTGTCCATCTATAAAGCCCATGATTCTTATTAAGTGGGGGGTCATATCTCAGGATGTCATAGCAAAGTTTCTAAGAACCTGACACCTTGCACTTCTGGAGTCGCCAGAAGTAGGTTGCTGTTCTGGACAATGGTGGCGCTGGAGACTAAAAGGGTCCCTGATGGTTTCACACCTAATTCTTAATTCCTGATTTTTTTTGCAGTTAATATGCATCTTTTCTTCTTGGCCTGTTTTTGTCTGACCCTGCTGGAAAAAATTAGTGTTTTGCTGTCCAATGGTCACGCCTTAATTTTGGTGGGAGGAGTGAATGTACAGTGCTCTTTTCCACCTTTTACCAAGCTGTCATTCAAACAGTATACAAATTTAGGGAAAACAGCCTAAGCTGGATATAGGCTACAGCAGTCGACTTAATTAAAAGGCACAACAGGCAGCTCTCTTTTAACACAGACTTTTAAGAAGGGATGGATGTTTGCTTCAAGTGATAGGCCAGGTAAGTGAAATTATATTATCTTGCTGTACGTATGTCGTTTTCTTTACGTTTTCTGACTAAAAGCAACCAAAAAGCCATTTTAAAGTGGTTAAGCAAATAATAATCGGCAGGGACCCCAGACCAATACAATTAGTTCAATTCAAGTTTCAAATCGTGAAAAGCGCTATACAAATAAACTTTAATTAGTGTGCCTCTATTTTAAAACCCACGAGCCGCCACTGAATACATTCATATGTATTTTTTTCACACCATATTTTCTTATATCACCATTCATCTGTTATATTACAGTTCATTATAGGAAGGTTTTGACATCCAAACCTGAGTGACACAAACCTAAATACATGAACGTTAATTATTTTATTTAACATTGATGTGGTTTGGAATTGTAAAATGTACTTGGAAAAAAATATGATCAGAAAATGAACTTGCATAATAATTATGCATGCACAGTACATGCACTTTTGATTGTTTTCTAACACTAGTGGGTTAAGCTAGCAGTCTGTTCAAAGGAACAGGTGCTAAACTAAGTTTTCAGTATGTTTCAATTGTGTTGACAATTGGGATGACATACTGCTTTTCCCTAATCTTAATGAAAACACATTTTGTTTTGAGTGATGAAACAGGAACAGCAATTGTTTCAAGGCTCTCCGTTACCTCCATCACAAAATCACCAGCGCCACTGCACTCAAATGTTAGTCTGGAGCCTTTTTAAAGTGGTTAAGCAAATAATAATCGGCAGGGACCCCAGACCAATACAATTAGTTCAATTCAAGTTTCAAATCGTGAAAAGCGCTATACAAATAAACTTTAATTAGTGTGCCTCTATTTTAAAACCCACGAGCCGCCACTGAATACATTCATATGTATTTTTTTCACACCATATTTTCTTATATCACCATTCATCTGTTATATTACAGTTCATTATAGGAAGGTTTTGACATCCAAACCTGAGTGACACAAACCTAAATACATGAACGTTAATTATTTTATTTTAAGAAATTGTTTTTGTGTGTGTGTGTGTGTGTGTGTGTGTGTGTGTGTGTATATATGTGTCTATGCTGATGGCCGTGCAGCAGATTTGTAGCGGACCTCCTGTCGGACAACATCTCTAAGGCGCTATGAACCATATGACTAGTAAGTAAAAGCTCAAACTAGGGATGTGCGATATTGAAGAAAAATGTGATATGCGATACCTTGTTAAAAAGTTTCAAGGCTCTCCGTTACCGCCATCACAAAATCACCAGCGCCACTGCACTCACATGTTAGTCTGGAGCCCTGATTATGTTATTTTGTTTAGTAGTCTGTTCAGAATTGTGGGAGAATTGTGATCTAAAAATTATGATTATTAATTATCCAGAATCGTGGAGAAACATATGTCAACTTAGCATGTTTCCTAAATATCTGCACATATTATACATTTTACACATATTATGGTATTTTTATGCTTTAGTACAGTCAAACAATTGCATACAGCACCATACAGAAAATTGCATACAGGATAATACATTCTGTTGGTCATATAATGTATATTCTTTTTGCGTAGCTTCAGGTCCTGATCACCCTTTTAGGGTTATTTGTAATAACAGAAAGCTCAAACTAGGGATGTGCGATATTGAAGAAAAATGTGATATGCGATACCTTGTTAAAAACTGCGATATTCGATATGCGATACGGTATTGCTTAAAGTGTGTAAAATCAATTTAAATTATATTTTAAAATATTTAAAAATGTAAATTATGTAACCAATTTGTTTCACATTCTTTCTTGGAAAATAAAGAATCACTATAACTTCTGAAAGTGACCAGCAGTCTTTTAGCATTACTTAAAAAGTAATGTCACAAATCATAAAATGTAATTTAACATCAATGTTAGGGCTGGGTATCAATTCAGATATCCCGATTCGATTTCGCTTCGCAAGCTCTCGATTCAATTCGATTCTTGATTTTTTTTTATTACATTCATTGAATATAGTTTTAATACAAATGCTATTGATATTTCTAAAAAATTAAGTTTACAACAGTTTACAACATCAGTTTACAAATAGTGAATTAATAAAAAGAAATTAAGAACCACGTGCCTGTATTTTAAAGGTGTGGTTGATTGTAATTTCACTTTTTTAATGTTAGTTAGTGTGTAATGTTGCTGTTTGATCATAAACAATATCTGCAAAGTTAGGAATCTGAAAGTTCAATGCAAACGGAAATATCGTCTTTTAAAATTCTGGCAGTTTAATGCCTACAAAAACGACTGGTAAGGGACTACAACGAGTTACTTCCTGGGTCCGTTTCGTCAAGAACCCAGAATTTTACTACGCACGAATTAGACTCGCGCTAGAGGCGGTTTAGCCAATCACAACACACTGGGCCAGCTAATCAATCAGAGCCCATCGTGCATTTCTGAGGGAGGGGCTTCATAAAAGCAGGAAATGATCAGCGCATTCAGAGGAGAAGGGACAGAGTGGAATAAAGGTAAATTATGTGAAAAATAATGCTTTTTTTAACAAACGAAGCATTAACACATGTTAGACTGCACCCCATAAACACAATCAAGCCTAGAAAAAACCCAGTCAACCACCCCTTTAAACCTATTCTTTTTTTTTGTATAGGGTCCATTTTAAACAATAGTAGGGCCCTATAAAATGTTCTTAATTTTAATAATCTTAAAAGGCATAAAACATTAATTTAATTTATAATGAAAATTAAACCCTTTTTTTTTTTTTGGCAAACAAAGTGCTGCACAACAAAGGTTTACTGTTAAAATGAAAAATAAAACAGATGTGATTATTCCTTTAAAAATAAAGATGTATTAACCCTTTAAAAACCCTTGTGTCGGCGCCGACACAATTAACTATGCTGTATTCATGTTGTCATAACTCACCAACCGTTTGCACTATGAAAAAAAATCTAATTGCATCTGATAGTAGACAGCTTGCGCTTTATGACAATATATGGCTTAATACGGTAATTGCATGCTTTCCATCAGCGAATCACAGCGGCTTTCGGGGAGAGCGGGAAGGACGGATTTGAAGCGGGAGATACGGAGCGCAGCAGGTTAGAGAGTTTGAGAGTGCAAAATATAATAAAAAAACGGACAAAAACATGGCGAAGAAAGGTTTTACAAGAGAGGAGGCGATTGACTTGATTTTTGATGACACCTGGGAAGAGGCTGAGCATGACTCTTCAGACCCGGAGTCTGTGTATTCAGACATTGAGGAGGCGTATGCTACTGGCATTGATCCAGACGTAGATTGGTAAGTGAAGCTTATGTTTCTTTCTGATGAATCTATGAGAAATGTGAGTAAAATAGTCACAGACTCCGTGTTTCAGTTTGAAATACCACTGTTTCACACACTTATGTGGTATATGTGCGTTTATATGCACATGCGTATAAGTGCCTATGTGCATGAATGCGTTCATGTTTGCTCGTGTAACTTATGTGTGTGTGTACATGCATGCATGCATGCATTCATGTTTGTGCATATAACGTACATGCACATCTATGTTTGTGTGTGTGTGTGTGTGTGTGTGTGTGTGTATGTGTGTGCGTGCGTGTGTATATGTGTGTGTGTGTGTGTGTGTGTGTGTGTGCATATGTTTATTTGTATGTTTGTGTGTGTGAATGTGTGTACGTGCGCGCGCGCGTGTGTGTGTGTGTGTATGCAAATGCGTGTGTACATGCAGGCGTGTGTGTGTGTATGCAATCATGCGTGCATTTATGTGTATATCTGTATATTTGTGTATGTGTGTACGTGCATACATGTACGTGTGTGTTGGTGCTTGGTGTAAATGTCTTTGTGTAAAATGAAGCTGTTGGTCACTGCAATGTCCAGAAAGTGCTGGAAAATTGTCCCTCACTTTTGGCAGATCCATCACACCCATGTAGAGAAGCAGACCTATGTACTTATTTATTTCTTCAGGGTATACATCAGCCCATGTGAATTTCCTACCCCTCTCCAGATTACTCACCACATTCTTGTTTGAGTTTGCACCCAAGATGTATATGTATGTGTGTGTACATGTGTGCATGTGTATTTCTGCATGTTTTTGTATAGGTGTGTATGTGTGTACGTGCAGGTATTCTTGTGTGCATGTGTGTACATGCATGTGTTTGCATGCCTGTGTGTAAGCAACTGCAGACTTTACTTTTATTGTTATTTCATTGTTATTGTATTATTCTAGTTAAATTTTTTTAAATTTAGCTTTTGCTAATAAATTGCTTTATAATGAAAAGTATTTTTATGAATATATAGTGAGTTTGTAACACATGCTTCTATTTTTTTCCCCAGTGTGGCTTCTCCAGTTGCCTATGAAGAAGCAAATGGGCCATCCACATTCTTGTTTGAGTTTGCACCCAAGATGTATATGTAGTACATGTGTACATGCGTGCATGTATGTGTGCATGTGTATATCTGCATGTTTTTGTGTATGTGTGTACATGCTTGTGTGCATGTGTGTGTACTGTGCATGCATGTGTTTGCATGCCTGTGTGTAAGCAACTGCAGACTTTATTTTTATTGTTATTGTAATATTATTATAGTTAATTTCAAAGTAATCAAAGTAAATTTTGCTCTTACTAATAAATTGCTTTATAATGAAAAGTATTTTTATGAATATATAGTGAGTTTGTAACACATGCTTCTATTTTTTTCCCCAGTGTGGCTTCTCCAGTTACCTACGAAGAAGCAAATGGGCCAGCCACAATGAACACAACACCACCTCAGAGGGGCCGTGGTCGCAGCCATAGCTGTGGTCGTGGCCGTGGTCGCAGCCGTGGGCGCATTCATGGCCCTGAGGAATCGCGTAGCCTCTCACCAGTATCACATGATGGAAGATGGAACACAGAGGCAGATCCTATACAACAAAAAAAAAAAAAAGAAGACCCGACGTACTGTGGTTTGGTCCGATGTACTGTGACAAACATTGTTATATTTTTTCTTTTTTAACAGTTGCAGAAGTTGAAGCTGTTATAATTCTGTTAAGATTCTAAAGTAATTGAATCAGCCCGACGTAGTGTGGTAGCAGAGTTCTAAAGTAATTCTAAAGTAACTGATGCAGTGTGGTTACAGAATTATTTCATAACTATGGTGTTTTTGTGTTGATTTGCCCGACTACTGTGGCTAAGTAAACTGTTTTAAAAATATAACATAAAACCCAAACTATGCGTGCTAGTGAAGGAGGAGAAGAACCAATGACCTCTACCATGGAGATCCATTAGATTTCCTGAAAAAATTGGAAGAATATGCTGAGGTTTACTAATTTACAGATGGCGATGCATGTGTTTTTTTAAGAATGTGTCTGCCTGACACTTTGTCTGGAGCCTTAACTCAGAATGTAAAGGACAGAACTGCAAATAAGTCAGAGAGGAAACAGGCATTGCTTGAAGTCTTAGGTGTGATGTCAGTTAACTGGGATAAAATATATGAAATGCAAATGAGGAAAGGGGAGCATCCAGCTACATTTTCAGAACGACTACTGGAGACGTTTAAAACGTTCAGTGGCAATTCTGATATTACTCAGAATGATGTCAGTTTCAAGTCTGCCTTGATTAACAAATGTGACCCATTCACCCATTCTGCTGTGACAATGCTTGTGACACCTCAATCTGAGTATAATGACATTATTGCTAAGATGACACAATTTTACAATAATAATGCCAATACAAAGAAAATACATCCTGTGTCCGTAATAAGTGCTAAAAAGCCATATCAGAGCAGTGGTCGTAAGGTCTCTTTGGAAAGAGAAGACCATGTCAGTGAAGAAAGAGAGGAAAGACCTCCTTATAACCCTGATAATCTCCCAGTGTGCTATTTATGTTAGTGTGGTTTTTGCCCGACGTATTGTGGCACTGTTTTAATCTGATAAATATTATTTTGAGCCCGAGGAACTGTGGCTAGAAAAAGACTGTTTGAGAAAATACAACAAAAAAAAAAAAAAGAAGACCCGACGTACTGTGGTTTGGTCCGATGTACTGTGACAAACATTGTTATATTTTTTCTTTTTTAACAGTTGCAGAAGTTGAAGCTGTTATAATTCTGTTAAGATTCTAAAGTA